AACCCAACCCCTGCTAACCCACCCCTCCCCCACTCTCCCACCCACAGGAAGCACTGTCTGATGACCATGTTCCGTCGCACCATGGAATCAGTTCGTCAGCTGGTGGGTCGCGACGCCTGGGCCCTGGAGCCCACCCTGGACGCCAGTGGATACGGCTACACGCGACTGCTGACACAGTTTGTGTCGGTGGTAACCGATGTGGTGGGGCAAGCGGAGGAACAGGTACTGACGGGAGGTCCGCAGGAGAGCGCCCTCATGGAGAACGATACCGTGCGGAAGGATGTGGTGGTGCTGGTCTACAACCTGGTGGCCACGTTTGCTCAGGTGGGTGAAGATAAGGGAGTGGACGTACGGATGGTGAGATGAGAGATGGGAAGAGAACGATTACGATAGGGAAAAAGTCTAATTGGATTTGTAAGAGTGCGCGTTTAGGTGCTATTTCTCAGTTAGTCCGTGTTGCTGTCAAACGTCAACCTGGGTGGTGCTGGTAGTTGAGTGCCAGTCGATGTCTTAGTGGAGTTTCATCATCGTTTTGTTAGCGTTTTGCGAGCCTGGAAGATAATCGTTTGACGCACCGTTATCCGTCCTCCTCCTCCTCCCGCTGTTTCCGCCAGGTGCTGGAGCGTCTGGCGTTTGAGGACACAGAGTCGGAGGATGGCGAGGACTCTGAGGAGCCGGGCGGCGCGGCGCGTGAGTCGCCCAGTGTGGAGCACCGCCTGCTGCTGGTGCTCTCCAACTGTCATGTGCTCCGTGTGAGCCGAGCACCCCAGCTGGAGAGGGTGTTTACGTCACACGGGTGAGGAGCGGGGTGATGTGAGGGCCAACGGGGTAGATAGGTTGGAGTCGCATAGGTGGCAATGGCGAGTGGCGGGCTGCGCGCACGAGTGTGAGGGGTGAGCTGATGTTGAGGAGCCGACGGGCCACTACGCTTTCGTGGCTTGGATATTGACTACTTATTCAGAATATCCTCACTTTTGTTGACAATAGCACAAGCACATGTTTTATGTTTTGCGAACTGCTGAGTGCAATTTTAGGCATAGTACTATTTTAAATTACGGGGCCATGCTAATCGAAATTGGCTGTCGGCGAGCAAACCTAAAAACAAATCACCTGTCCGTCGACAATTTATGATCTAACATGCTTTTATATATCCGTCTCTGGCAGGTTTCCGGCGTCGGAGGTGCGCCAGGGTCTGCAGAAGATGACTGTATGTATGTCTGTGTCTCAGGTTTCCGGCGTCGGAGGTGCGTCAGGGTCTGCAGAAGATGACTGTATGTATGTCTGTGTCTGGCAGGTTTCCGGCGTCGGAGGTGCGCCAGGGTCTGCAGAAGGTGACGAATCTGTATGTATGTTTCTGTGTGTCAGGTTTCCGGCGTCGGAGGTGCGCCAGGGTCTGCAGAAGGTGACCGACGTGCTCTCGGACCTAGAGCAGAAGCTGTTCGAGGCCTACATGGAGGAAAAGGCCGACCCCATACTGGGTAGGTGACGCGCACACTGCAGTGTCGCTGGGGAAACGTATTGCCACCACTGTGGTAGCATATGGTTGTGGATGAGGTAGTCAATTATTCGCTCTTATCGGATATTTTGATAACACGAATACAAACCGGAATTGGTCAGAATGCTTGGCAGAAGTTTTATCGCTTTTTGAGCGTAATAATGTGGTTCTGATTGGTGATATCGAACTGGCATTTCACTGCATTTTGCTTACACCAACCTCATACACGGTGATGCCGCGCTACAACGATTAACGTTTTCGGTAAAACGTCCTAATGTACGCTGCGCCATGTGACGCAAGGGTAATGAAACTATCAACCGACCCTCAGGTATAATCGAGATGTCCATGTACCAGGGCAAGTTCGATTGGTCGGCTGTGCTCCAGCCGCCCACGGATGTGCGCGGATACGTCAAGGAGGTCATCATGAACTGCATCGGCGTCCACGCCGAGGTGGGCAGTCGCCGCTGGTTGGCGGTGCCTGGGGTGGATGCCTGTTGAATGCGGTCAGGGAGCGCGCTGAGAATAGCGGGGTTGCCAATGTCATGAATGCTGCTTTTAACCACACTGTCACAATTCTTTCGCTTTCTGTTACGTAAATAATATCGCTTCAGATGGAGCTTGCTACATTGGCTTTATTTTCTGTAGTTATATACTTTATATAGTTCCAGTAGTTAAAACTTTTATAACATCTGACCCAGAAGAGTCATCTGACCTTGACGTCACTGCTTATCGTGGTACCTACCCCCCCGAGTTTGTTTGTTCGTTTTTGTTGTTGTCAAAAGTGTGTGCACTGTGGCATCTGTTTATGACCGGCCCCCCCCCCCTCCACCAGGTATACTACGTCTCCCCACTGCTGGTGCGTCGCGTGCTCTGTAACCTAGTCGAGGGCGTGGCCGAGGAGCTCAGTCGGCTGATGACCTCCGTGGCGCGGATGACCCCGGCCGGCGGCCAGCAGGCCCGGCTCGACCTGGCCGCCCTGCAGGAGACCCTGCAGCTCTATATTACAGAGTCGGCACGGTGGGTGGAGGGAGGGATTGGGAGAGAGGGAGGGAGGCGAGACGCTGCTGCAGCTCTATATTACAGAGTCGGCACGGTGGGTAGAAGAGGAGAGGGAGTGGGAAAGAAAGAACAAAGGGATGCTGTACCTTTATATTGCATGATTGGCACAGTGGTTAGAGACTTTACGAAGAGAGACTCGCGGCGGACAGATACACATTTCAGGGGCGACATGATGTGTTCGCACATCATCCTGTATCCTGCGTGTTATGATGTGTGTTGAAACTACATTTGAATGAAAGTTGTACCGATGCGCCTTTCTGACTGGCTCCTGCTATCCCCAGGGTGTCGTTTGTTGAAGCCTCGGAGTCCCTGCCCAACCACCAGGACCCCGCCGGAGACAAACGGTAAGAGCGGCGACCCAGTCTCGCTTCCTGGCGTCCATAGAGATCCCCGCTAGCTAGGTATTAACCTGACAGTGCCGTGACGCCATTGCACCGTCATTGTCAGCCAGTTCGTGAAGGACAGTTATGCGTAGCGTTTTACGTGCAACAATGTGTGGCCAGCGCCCAGCTGCCAATGAAATACGGCTGGCAGGTTTTATTTTGACGACTTTCGCACGGAATATTTAGGGAACTTTTCGTGGAAATTCCATATGAACGGAAGTAATTACCTAAATATGCAAACTAGAATCCTTTTGCATTAGCATAATGCAACCTACCTACTTCATTACATTCTCGCTTATCCGCTGTTGCTCTTGCAGACTGGTGGAGGACCTGCTGAAGAAGTTCCGGTCCAACATGCGGCTACAGATGATGTGCTTCACCAGGGAGCCCACCCTGGAGGATTTCTCATCGGACTGAGCTTGGTGCTCCGTACTCCAGGGTTGCCTATTTTCCCGTGGTGCACACGGCACAGTGCATATGTCCCAGTCTGGGCTTACGCTGGTTAGCAGGCGGACTGGTGGGAACGGTACCGTGGGCAAGGTGATGGCGACGCCAAAGAAGTCGTTACGTCGTTAAAGAAGTACAGTGGAATTCCTTGAGTGTGACGAGAATGCTTCAGGCGGGAGGCGTGAGAAGTTCCCCGCAGCCCACAATGTCACCTCGAATCTGATACCGTCACCGTCTCCCGTCGCTCGAAAGAGACCTGCGCAACGGCTATCTGCCTTATTTCACCAGCCCGGTCTGTAACGGCAAATTCGTGCTGCAAACGTATGCAAATGTCGCGAGTCAAACAAAACGGACGCATGTGAAGACCGGAAGGTCACTTCAGGGCGTTTTTTGATGCTGACAAGCTTGTGATACATTTGGAAGGAAGTTGGAAAATGGGAAGAAGCCTTACCTTGATGACGAGGAACCACGTGGTGCGTCTGTGATGGAATTTTGGAGGGGGTGTGGTGCACCCCGTGTATGACAGGAATCTTATCACTGAATGCAAGACCTAAGTGTACCTATTGAGTGTTTCAGTGTTACCGAATGAGTGCGATTGAGTGATTGCAAGACGCGTAATTGAGTGGGTTATGGAAGAGTTTGCAGCGGCATATGATTTTCGATTACTTTGCAACAAAGGATGTCATCTGCAGGACTTAATCATGGGCCGCCGTTTGCTGTAATCAATGTTTTAACGACATGTGTGTGCAGTCAGTTCAGTAAGGTAGTGTTATTTCGATGGCCGATGCTAAATGAAGCCAGACGTTACGAAGTGCTAAGTTATGTTGCCCTCAAAGTCCGACCGTTGCTGCACTGTTTCATGGGGGATGCGAGTGCTGGCTCGCTATCGTAGCTTTATATGTTATATTGTATTGAAGTTAGGTGTACACGCAGTGGTCAGATTATTTACAAGTTGTATAATGTCATATGTGGAGACCGGTCCATAATTTCAACGCTGAAGTTATACATATAGCGTTGATAGCAGTCTGGCATGGATATTGGATTGCCAAATACATTCATTCCATTACCGCCAGAGTTTTGGAAAGCAATAAGTGACTCAGGCGATCAGTTTTACATTGTCTAGTGTTCAGTCGCGCTGTTGCAATTTCGTATGGTATGTCAAAGCCTGGTGCCGCCATGCAGTTTATAACAGCGTGTTACTGCAGCCATCGAGTTTTGATAACACCGAGCCTGAGCGGAGTGAGTTTTTTTTTTTCGTCTGTCGGTAGTAAGGATGCACAGAGTTCAGGACCTTAACCCTGGTGAGGGCCGAGGGGGCCTACAACACTATGACATAATGGTGTGTGTGTGAGTGTAGGGGGGGGGGGGGGGGGGGTAGAAAAAGGCAGGAGTATGCCTAAATTTCGGGCACGAGTACCTACTCAACCTGCCGTAGAGTGTAGGAAGTCTGTGGGGAAACCGCGGTAACGCATGCGTCTTAAGTTTTCTTTTCTGTCTGAGTGCTTCAAGTGCTTTGGCGTTCAGAGCTCGGATGTGCGGTATAAATATCGCAAAATCGCTTGCACATACCAATAGTACTCAGCTATCGCCGCATGAGCGACGAATAAAAAAATTGATATCGTGTCCAGTTTATTATAAAGACACTAACGGGTTACCAAAATAAGACCGATATAAAACACTGCACACTCACAGCTGGACTTCATAGTTGAACCTGGTTAGGTTACAAGTTGAACTTACTGTTCACTGGCTTAATATGTTGGCGGCATCGATCCGCACACTCTAGTCCGCAAACAACGAAGACACCAAGAGTGCAAGTGAACGCCCTACAGGCATGACACGCGCACATTGAATACTGACGTATAATGAGGACAGCTGTCTTCCTAGCTGAGAAAATGTTGGAAATAGTTCAAAATCCAAAACGCTTTGCATCCGTTATGGCAACACAAAAATGGCGATGAACACTAGCATTTACCAAACCTTTTCTCGGCTGTTCGCACGGATTATAGATAAACCGTCCACGGGACGACAAAAAACACGAAGTTAAACAGACATTATCGTGGAATCCGCCCCCAAAAGGACTATCCACGCCGGTAACAGCCATTGAACAGCCGCACTCGATTAAATTACAGCCCCACACAAACCACACAACATTACCGAGTAAGTGAAAGAGCGTTTGTTAGATGACGATATATCATGACGTTGCTTGCAGACTGTACTACCCGTACAATTGATCTTCGTGCCACAGCACGACCGGTGAAGATCAGAGCAGCTCATCTGAAATATGGCCAAAATACAAAACCGTCAAATCGGTGCAATATTGCAGCTAATGCTTTTGAATATATAAATTTAGCTCGGTATGTTTATTTGAACGGAATGAGAAGGCCCAAGCCCACGCTAAGCAGGGTCCACAATACGCAGCCAAATTCAACTTAATGGCCGACATCGACGTGATTTATATAAATTACGATCACATTCACTACGGTAACGAAACGAGTGGACATGACAGAATTACTGCGGAAACGTTCATAACGCAAGGAAATACTATAACTCAGTCCCAGGCCACAAAACTGACAAACCCCACGGCCCACACCACCCTCCCCCCCCCCCCCCATCTCTGCTCTGAGAGAACTCCCTTTCCGCTCACCCGTGCTCCTGCGGTTCCACCCCCGGTCACGAGCCGGGCTTCTGTGCCTTCCGCACCAGCTGCACCAGGCTGGAGAGCCTGCTGAAGCCAGTGCCGGAGCGTAGCGAGGCGGCCAGGCACTGGCGGTACAGCTCCTCAAAGTACGCCGGTGTTTGTCTGTGAGGAGGGAGCGGAAAGGGAGGGGGGGGGGGCTGTCAGCTGGCTCGACGATATTGACAGAAGCGCAGTCAGAAACAAGGGTAATCAGATATTAATGCAGCGTACGCTATAGCAGCATCAATAAAAATTGAAGTAGGTCCAAAACGAAGCATTACTTCAACAGCTTCGAGTCGAATTGCTTGCAAATATTTTGAGCAATGTCCAATTATTTACCTAAGGTCATTGCATCCTCTATATTCTCTCATACCGTATCCACTGACACCACTCTGATTCTTCGCGTCATTTTCTTTCAATTCATTTATCTTTTTCTACCTCCCGAACTCACTTTTTCTTATTGCCTCCATATTTCCTCAGCAGAAGGCAGACCGTCTTCAGTGCGTTCAGCAGGCTCTCAAACAGACACTGCGCGCCCTTCTGTACGCGTTCGGCCAGCTCTGGGTCCTGGGGGTCGGTGAGGGACGCCTCCCCTGCCACCAGCAGAGGCGCCAGCGGAGAGGACGGGGAGGCCACGGCCGTCATAGCCTCCTCGACCAGCTTCACGCGGCTAAACCAGTGGCTCATCGCTGGGGGAGGAAAGAATCATGCGGTTCAATTAATCGCTCCTCATTGGCGGAAGAGCTAAGAGACAGGGGCGACTGCGATTTATCCATTTCAAACCGTGACTCGCTGCTGAAGAAATGTAGACAAGACGGGGAGCACTAAGCAAATATCAATAGCTGGGGATCGCTGAGAAATGATGATAATGCAAATCACCTATATGCAATTAACACACCTGTACCTAAATAATGGCCGAACGACGTCACTACCAAATACCAATCGAATCAATCATGAACAAAATCCCCCATAGCCACCAAGAATAGCCCCGGGCAGTACGTGTCGAGTGTCGACCCCACACTGACCGGCCGCCTGGTGCTCTTTGACGGCCGTCTGGGCGTGTAGCATGGCCAGCAGACGGTCGGGCCGGCCGGCCTCCTGGTACCGGAGGGCCGACTGGCCGTACAGGTCCAGCGCCTCTCGGTACAGCTGAGCGCGACGCCGCTCGGATGTAGGTAGCCTGCCGACGGAGAGCGGTGGGCGGGGCTGAATGAGCGGGAGTAAATCGCGTAACGCACACTGGGGTTGGGGTTATGACAGGTGGACGACGCGTAGCAGTACTGAAAATATGGTGTTAAATAGGCTCCTCAACAGTGTCATACACCGATGGTTATTTAAGGGAAACTACGGTGATGAAGGGGCAGAAAACTTAACTACTAATAGGTCTTCTTTACTACTTCCTTGCTACCAGCTACCCAACTGATCCGCACAACCATTCACAAGGAGACGAGACAGAACATGACGAGAAAAAAAACATGAAAGACATTCAAATGTGAGCTATAAAACCAACATCAGATACTCTCCCGTCACCCCGGTCCCGAAGCCAGCGGTCCCTCACCTGGCAGTCTCCTCGTGTGTGACTGCGTGCATAGCGATCACCTCAGCCGCATGAAAGCACACCTGGCGGCGCTCGGCGCCCGCCGGCATAAGCGCAGGGTCACAGAGCGCCAGCGCCTTCCTGAAGAGCTCCTGGACGGCGCGCTGCCGTCCGGCCGAGCCGGGCGCGCCGCCGGCCGCCGCCACATCGCCGTGCAGCAGCGCCAGCCGGTACCCGACGCCGCTCCGCAGGAGGCGCATGCGTGCGGCGAAATCGGCACACCCCACCACGGCGGCTGTCTGTTCAGCAAAGCGCGTGGAGCGGCCGGGCGCGGCGGCGGCGGCGGCGGCGCGTCCGTAGCAGGCGGCGGTGCGCTCCAGGTCCGAGACGGTGGCAGCCGCGTCGGCGAACAGCTGGTGGTGCGCCGCCGCCGCCCGGTTGTACAGGTGACCCAGGTTCATCTCCGTGGCGCACCGCTGCGGCGAGCCCTCCAGCAGACTGACAGCCTGCCGAGGGGCGAGACCGGTCAGAGATGAAGTCAAGAAGATAATTAGGTCTAGAGGGCCTGTGCACGGTCATGGACATACCTCAGCAGGAATCAAATGAAGCCAATCTCCATCCCATTCATACACTATGTATGTAGTCGCATTATTTACTCTTTACAAAACGCAATAGTTCAACCACCCGGGTTCAAACACCAACTCCTGCTCAATTCTCACCCTGCAGAAGGCGCTCTCGGCTCGTTTGTAGCCCTGCTCCATGGGTCTGCGCTGAGCCTCCGCGCGCGCTCGGAGCGAGGCGGCCGGCCCGCTGTCCACTGCCTTCATTACATCCTCCAGTCGCCGACTGTAGAGCAGGCCGATCTCGTTCAGCAGCAGGCCCTGGCGCGTGCGCACGTGCTGTCGCATCTCTGGAGACAGCTGTGGACGGGAAGAGATGCCGGTCGTTATAGCGTATTGTACGAGACTACTTTGACGATCTATACCAGCCAAAGATATTAGCAAATACAAAAACATCATTATACAATTGCAATACTAACTTATCTCATAAAGATAACAATTCCTTCAAGTAGTTGTCCATGGACTGATTTCCTTTCAGAACACATACTTCGTAGCACATGTTTGCCAGACGTGACGGTGTGACCTCGGAAAATGACTGTTAGAACAGTAGCCTACTGAGTATGAGACAAGCGCTAGTTTCTAAGTGCACGCATCACGGCGCATTCAACAAAAGACCTCTCAATACCATCCGCCCTTCCCGTCACGCACCTTGAGCGTGGCGGCCGACTCCATCGTCCTGACGGCGTCCTCCAGCATGTCCATGTCTCCGGCCACACCGGGCGGCCGCGCCGGTCTGCCCACAAACTCGGGCGGCGTATCAGCTCCCGCCTCCCTCAGTCGCTGAAGGAGACTCCGCTCCACCGGCTCGGTGGGCTCCCACCAGGCGGCACGCGCGGCCTCAGTGTCCGCAGCCGGCGCCCGGCTCAGCAGCAGCAGGCCGTCACTGACTAGGATCGAGGCAGCGGCCGTTACCTCCGGCACCGCCCCGCTGCCGCCGGCCGCCGCCACACACCGCAGAGCGGCCCAGGCCATGCGCAGGGCCGGCAGGGCGTCGCCCCGCTCGCCGGCTGCCGCCGCGCGCACCGAGCACAGGTGGGCCGCCTTCTGGTAGAGAAGCATCTCCGTGACATCACCCTCATGTGTCGGTGTCGGTGGGGGCGGCGGTGGCGGCGGTGGTTCCGATGATATCTCAGACGGCTCGGATGCCTCAGAAGGCGCCTCAGTTGGTGGCTCCGAGGTTGCAGCGACCAGAACTTCGTTCAACGGACAATACGGCATGGGGATAGCCTGAGCCGGGTGCGCCATCTTCGGCGCCTTGTCGTCGCGTTCCAGTTCGTTTCTCCGTCTCAGGCAGTCGAGCGCAGACAACACGTGCTCCAGCGCTCGCTCTGTGCGCTCGCGCGCGTCCCCGGCGATCGGCTGCGGCCGGGGCTCGCCCTCCCAGGCGTCCTGCTCAGAGGGCTGCACGGCGCCCTTCCGAGCCAGCAGGTCAACACGAACCATCGGCTGCTGGCTCCACGGAGAGTCCGTGGCCACGGTGCGCTCGGGACTGCGCGCCAGCGCTGCGTCTGCGTGCCCGCCGCCAGCGAACTCGGTGGTCAGAGGACGGTGGTCGCGCGGCACGTAACAGTCGGCCAGCATCATGTGGATGTTGGCACGCACCTGGAATGGAAACAAAGGCCGATCAGATGGGTGGAATCGGAAATACAGAGAAGCAGACTTGCCACTACACAAACATGGAGGCAACCAGATTGATGGTACGAGATTAGCGCGTCAGGTTCCGATTCACAATATATGAAACTGATAAAGAGCACCATTATCTGAGGCCTGTTTCACTAAAAACTTGTATTTACAAGTGTTTGTAGTTTACAATTCATAAGTATTTTTGCAAACTATGTAAAATCGGGTTTCACTAAACTTCATCACCAGCGGCACCTCCGATAAAAAGAGTTGGTAAATAAACTTGTAAACAGTAAAATTGTTTTTAATCAAGAACTTTAACATGTTACAGATATTGCTCCTTTTTATCAAACTATGTCTAGTTTTCATGTCAGAAATTGCAGGAATAAATTAAAAATAATCATGCTGTTTCTGAGTGGTATAAATGATAGTTCACAATATCTTATTATTGAAAGAAAATCACACGTAAAACATTTGACAGCAGAAGACTGTTGAATGTAATTATGGCGCGCGAATGACAAAACATGACGATATTTTAATACCGATTATTTTGCTTTTTAGGGTGTGTGCTAAGTAAAAATTGAGCATGAAACGACTCAACAAAGCATAGTTGTTCTAAATATATGACTGTTTTGCATTATTGCACAAAAACAATCAAAATTCCGAACGTCAGGACCACTGAAATTTCAGGTTTGTAATTACGATGTTTTCTTTCAAGATTCTGGTCTTCGTGAAACAGAAAGTTTGCGATTCCCATGTTTTCTAGCAAACTTTTTCTTGTAAAAAAGTTTGGAAATTTTAAACTCAAAGTTCATGTTCAAAGGTTTTGTGAAATCCAAATCTCAAATGTTGGTAATTATTTCTTGTAAACTCAAGCTTTTTCTTTGTAAATACAAGTTTTATTTGTTAGTGAAACAGGCCTCTGATCTAAAGCGATAGATGATTTTCCACAACAAAGGCAAAAGACCGTATATCAATCTGACCTGGAGGTACTTGTCCGCCTTGATGAGTTCCAGAGTTTTGTTGAGGATGGTGCGCACGGTGCCCAGTCGGTCACCAAAGTCGACCACGTGCCTCTTCCGAAGCATGTTGCAGGCAATTCTGGGGAAGGACACATTTCAATGTCACACAAAAGACCAGTTATTGCGAGTCGTGGCAATATCAAACAAGTGGGGAAAAATCGACGGTCGATACAACATCTGCTTCTGACACAGCCCATTTAGAAAGTACGCCAAAATGGGAATTTGTCAATTATGTAGGCAGTCCAAAGCTCACGCAACACAAAAGAATAGACGTCAACACGTCATCACGCGCGAATTATTGGAGTCGGACAGCAATTTCGTTTCAGCACTGCTGCTCTGAACGCCTATAAGACGTAACTGTCGGTGAATGAATCACTCCCCACTGCACCGTACGCAGAGGAAAGTAGTAGATTCACATTTACTGTGGCACCGTCATACGTCGGTACGCCCATGGATGGACGTACCGCCTTGAACCAGGTGCGTATGTGTGAAACCAGTGGCTTGCTGATTATAAGAAGACTCTAATACTAAAAGTTTGTCACTCCTCTCAGTGACAAATACCCATTCTCTGTCAGTTAAATGTGTTTCACCTATAAGCAGCGTCCTGCCAAAAGCTGAGTTGTCTCCCCGACCCGCAGACGTATCCTTCGCGTACCTACAATGATGTCTCATCAGTACAGCGGCACGCTCAGCCTCAGTGATGTCTCTTGTCTCACCAACGTCTGTTCCTCACCGTTAGTGTCTCAGTGTATCACCAATAATGTCTCAGTGTCTCGCAGATGTCTCGGTACCTCACCGAAAACGTCTCGGTACCTCACTGAAAACGCCTCAAAGTCTCACCGATAGCGTCCCAATTCCTCACCATTGTCTCACTATCTCAACAATAACTTATCGATGTCTCACCGATAGAGGAGCAGCGCGACGTGGCCCGAGAACGGGTTGTCGTCCCGGCCGACGCCCTCAAAGCGGCTCTCCAGTAGGCTGCTCAGATCGTACAGCTTGACGCAGTCGTCATCCTCGCCTGGCGACAGGGACATGGTCGACCGGTCAGCCATAGGAAGGTGGATCCATCGAGAGTGAAATATAAGTTTCCGAGACAACACGCCACACTATAGAAGAACCTATGACTGGCATTAGAAGTAAAATAGATAAGAAAATAGTCATGTGACACTGCACTACACAGTCCAAAATCCCAACTTTAATTAAAAGAACACCCAGCCTGGTACGCACGAAAAAACGCACCACACACTCGTCCGGTACCATGACAATTTGATACCAGGAGCACTTCCCTCTCCCCATAGCTTTTTCCACACAAGTGGAGTCAGCACCCCCAAGCTAACAAGCACACGTAAGCGTCTCGTCCTCACCTTTGAACAGCCAGTACGTGTGTCCCGTTTTGGTAGCGTTGGCTCGGAGGAACGACAGGATGTTCTCCGCCACGTCGTGTACCACCTCCGGCCGGAAGGTGGAGTCGGGGAGGTAGGGCAGCTCCTCAGTCTTGATCAAAGAGTATTTCCTGGGGGCGGCAGAACCGGCTTATCGACAGCCAGACTAGTTTACTACTAATTCAGGGGTGTGTAAATTTGATAAAGCAAGAAATACGCACAACCTAACGCGATTTTCTTGATGAAACGATGCAGAATGAAAGCTTCCCCAACAGACAAGATTCTCCGTAAAACTTCAATGAACAGGTCTGGCCGGTGGTATCCAACACACCATAACGAACGCCGTCAAGCTCACCGCACTCAGAGCACAGCAACAGCTCATCAGGGCGCGCCAGAGCATCCACCGAGCTCACCTAAGCTCACCAGAGCACTCACCGAGCTCACCTGAGCTCACCTGCAGAGCACTCACCGGAGCACGCCGTCCACGTGGTAGCACATGAGCACCTCGGGCACGTTGGACATTAGGTTGTCCAGCCAGTAGTCGAGGCCCGTCAGCACATTGATCGGTTCGGACAGGTCATGCAGTCGCAGTGAGACGCACGGGTGCGTGCCACCGCCCAGAATCGGCATGTCCGTGCCTGGCGAGAGGGAGGGGGCGATCGACTGATATCCCATGACATACTGAGTGCAATGGTGTGTCGAGCGATATCAATTTTTGGCTAGCCTTATTCCACCTTGCGATATACTCATAGTACCTCGCATTTACCAGCGAGCGAGCGAAGCGAAGAAAATACGTGAGAAAATACGTATAATGGAGAAATATCAGTATGAGCGGCCCGGTAAGGTTCGGCCTGTAACGCTTTTGAGAGGCTTATATCTCAGGAGCCGCTGGACTGATTGGCCTGGACTGGCAGCCCCATCCCTTCTACCGTCCTTAACTACTCTCGATGCATATTTAGGTGACCGTCGTGGCGGGCCCCACGTGGAAAGTCAGGGCGTTTAAATTGTTCTGCTAAAGTAGCGCCTTTGAGAGGCCTACATCTTAGCAGCCGCTGAGGCGATTCATTTGCGGTAATTTTTGGTAGGGTACCCCGGTAGCTGCATCCCTTCTACCAAGACGCTGCACAGTGCACACCTCCCACCACGGGTGGAGAATGTTTGAAAAAGTTACCCCGGCCGGCGACCGAAAGTCAGAAAGACGATGATGCTCAAATATTTGTCAACGGTTATCAACAAACCCCTATTTTGTGGCATAGACTGAATAATGGATGTCTGCCGTTTGTACGTTTTTAGGGAAAACTGCTGCACGCAGGTGCGGAAGATTTCGAAATTGTACCTAACAACAATTTTGCAACACGCCTTAAAATTTCGGACGCATGTCACCTAGTGCTAGGTCAGGTCATCAGGTCAAATTTGCTGGATGGTTGTGCTAAAATGCCATCATGCCCTTTGCAAAGCTTATTCCGTGGTTGACCGTTTTGACCCTCTTATTGATTTGAGCTCGCACCTGAAATATTATTCGCGACCGAGCCTTAAACGAGTAATCGAGTGTTTTGTTTGCAGTGTTAAAGCTCCGTTATGTTCATGAACTGTGAGAAAAGTTGTCGGAGAACGCTAAAATCAGAGAAATTTGGCTTTTGATGATCTATGGTGATTTTATTATTGAGCTTGCCTAAAACATGACGAGATTTCTCTGGTCACGTTTGTCGCTCTTTCAAACGTCGTTCCGCTTCTCCGCTCGCCTCGTAGCCCAGTAGCCGACTTAGAAGGAGCGTGAAAAGCCCACCTCTCGACTCAACGTGTTACGATAAGGCCACCACCCTGGCGCGGGCTAAGTTGGGGGAGCCTTGAGCCCCAGCAGCTCGTCCTTCTATCTCACTGATATTACCCTCGTCCTGTCTTGTGATGTTATTACAGTGCCATCTTACGATAACGGCTCTTAAATATTATTTACTTCTGTTTGATGAAACATGTCGGGCTCCGCGATGAAAAGACTTAAAAACATAGAAGCTCCAAAATGAAAATAGAGCAAATTTTCAAGAACTTTTCAAGGTAGATAAGAATAATGAGAGACGCTTTTATAGATGGCAGTTTTTTTCGTATGGAGACAGCTTTTAGGATTTACAAAAGTGGAAAAAGTTACCCCGGCCGCGCCGGGGTCGGCTGAAAGTTACCCCGGCCACGGCCGGGGTGGCCGGGGCAGGTTCTCCACCCATGCCTCCCACTACTCAACCCTCACTCACCTATCAACATTTTCAAATCCTGGAACGTCCAGAGCATGTTTCTGGCGAAGTAATGCCGTCGATATCGGCCGCGCCGGGGCGGCGGCGGTGTGCCGGCGATGTCGGAGGGCGCCGGCAGCGCCAGCAGGGCCGGGGCGGGCGCGGGGGCGGCCGGCGACGGTAGGGCCGTCACGGTGTGCAGCAGCAGCCGTGAGTAGAGCTCGGCGGAGCGCGTGTCGACAGCGGCCGCCTCCTCCTCGGCGGCCGCCCGGCGCGCCCAGTCCTCGTCCTGATAGGCGCGGTGACGGTGAAATTAGACCGGCCTATCTTTATCTACATACGGGCTTGAATTCTATCCGGATGGTGATTGTGTAAGGGGATCGCTAGGGTTGTGTATGTTAGCGGTGTCAATGCGGTGCGGTACGATCCAGGCTAGGGAGTGGGGACGGCGACGTGGACGAGTCGGGTGGTTGCGACAATTTTGGCCAGCGAAAAAATAATCATACGCTGTCTGTGCTTTGAACTTATCACAGTCCACATTCGACAACAATCATGAACCTAAGCACCCATCCTTTGGTCAAAGTACTTCGTATGCATCCGGTGACAGGCCCACTCCGAAGGCAGCAGGCGACGGCCACCTCATTCACTTCAACACCCAATATACACGGACACGCTGCCCGCCACCCGTTCGGTACCTGAAACTTTGTGAGGAAGTGTTCGCGCAGCAGGCGGTCCAGCCACACCCACTCGGTCTTCTCCGTCTCCAGCAGGTGGGTGGTGATGTCGAAGTCGTCCAGCAGCAGCAGCCGGCCCACTCTGTGAACCACCATGCTGATCTGGAGAGGGGCAGGCAGTCAACAATCACGGCACTTCTCGGACACAGATCAGTCATATGTGTGGATCGTGGGTCATCAATCATGGCAGTTATGAGATTGTCTCCGCTTATGAAAACTGACGGTCTTAAAAAATATTTGGAAGCTTGGAACAGTTGCTGCCTACCAAAGGATTTTTAACACGAGAACGAATTATCGGCATCAAGGCCAGAAAAATGAGCTCGCATGGCATTATCATTGTTCAGCCTGGCTGCATTACCTCTTCCCGATTATTGTATGCCAGCTTCAGCAGCTTCTTGATATTCTCTCCCTCAGATATGACGTCCACGCCATCCAAACAATCCATCGACATGTTCGCAATACAGAAACTGAAAAAGAACATGGATTATTCGTGTGAATTTCAAAGCTTTTGCCGGGACGTCCAAATTCGTCTAGTTATAACGCCATTATATCTTAAAATAATAAATGGTGTTGGCCAAGAGGCAAGAGTCATTGTGACTGGTTATTATTATCGTGACACACCAGTTATGCTAAATTCTAAGCATGTCTACACTTGTGGTCACCCTAAGTCTACCCTATCAAAAAACTCCTAACAAGCATGCACGCATTATTGCACAGGTCCCCCTCCCCATGTCATTGTATCTGACCGCTACTTGTACCGGACTGGCGCGCCGCGTCGTGCGGTCACAGCCCACCTGGAGAACTCGGGCCGCTCGTCGGCGAGCCGCTGCTGGTGCAGCACCTCGCGCTGCCAGGCGTCCATGTCGCGCGCGTAGCCGGGGCTCCAGAGCGGCACGGTGGCGGCCCGCGCGCGCCGCAGGTCCGTGTGCAGGTCCGGCTCGGTGAAGCCGGGCAGACGGTCGAGCAGGGCGAACTTGACCTCTGCGCACGAGCGCAGTCGGGCCGGCACCACGGGCAGCCGGTGGTCGGCCGCGGCGCCGCCGCCCAGTCGCGGCCACTCGTCGGCATTGTCGCCGCAGGCGAGCAGGCCAGTGTCGCCGCTAACGCTCTCCGAGTGAGACTCGCAGTCCGTGTCAGACTCCATCGGCGGCTGCGGAACGAGGGCGTCTCTAGCTCGCAGAACGACCCAGGCCGGTCATACGGGGCGATCGAAAACCGACTAAAATTGACTTTTTCAACCTGACCTTGACCTTAAACTTCTATAATGTCAGAAAGCCACATAAAACTTCTTATGAATTTCTTGACCAAACTTGGTCAGAAATGTGTGTCACAATGTGTCACAAGACAGGTCATTTACATAGCTTTTAAACTGATGACCTCTTTTGACCTGGCCTTGACTGTAAGGAACACTGAATCAGGGGCTTAGCCAAGGGGGGGGCCATAAGGGCCATGCCCCCCCCCTGGAGCCCAAAAGGGCCCCCATCGTGGTGTCATAAGTACAGTAAGGGGCACAATAAAAGTAGAGTAAGGGCCCCTCGGGGCACTCCACTGGGTTCGCGGGGGCCTTTCGGGCCTGAGACCTTGCCGCTAGGGCCCTCTGGGCTCTCTTCATTGGTTATAAAAGGGCCCTTCAGGCCTGAGGCTTTGCCACTGGGCCCCTCGGGGCCCTCTCCATTGGGTTCGCAGGGGCCCTTCATAATTTTAAGGTAGTTAAGCAAATAACTACGTCATGAAATTAAGAAAATGTTGGGCCCCTTCGCTCACATGGGCCCCTTTCGGTCTGATTGGCCCCCCTGAGGAAAATCTTGGCTACGCGCCTGGCCCTGTCAGGCGTTCAGGGACCCCTTGGGATCCTTAGCATGCTCAGAGAGTTTTCCTGTAGATCAGAGGACCCGTCATGCGCGCTCAGGGGCCTCTTCATGCACTTAGAGGGCCCTGTCGTGTACTCAGAGAGCCTTTCTGTGGCTTAGAGGGCCCCGTGAAGCGATCAGGGGCCCCTCCATGCGCTCAGGGGGCCCTGTCGTGTATTCAGAGGGTTTTTTCTGTTTCTTAGAGTGCCCTCGTGTCAAGTTATCAGGGCTTACGAGGCTCTCATGGGCTGTAGGGGCCTTTGGCGGTCTGAAGGACCCTCATCCGACCTACGGGGCCCTCAAGACCGCCTTCAGAACCGGCTGAGCGACTCTGTGAAGCTATTCATGGGCCTATCTAGCAGGGACCCATGGACTGCTTACCCCTCAGTTCTAACATATTTTTCATTTTTTGAATATTTTTTTTAAAATTTATTTGGGCCCCCTCCAAAAAATAGTGGATGAAATCCGATGACTTTTTGGATTTTGAGGGGGTTTACCTTGGGCCCCTGTAAGTTTGGCCCCGTCCTGGAGGAAATCCTGGCTACGCCCCTGCACTGAATAAAGTATACACTACTGGAATCACAATATATAGCTCTATATAAGCCAATTCTGAAGTATAGGTATGGGCCATTTTTCTCTCCAGTGAATCATGAATGCTGAGGTCACTGAAGGTCATCAAAGGTAAAATCACCAGGCCAAACTTTCCTGATTTTTATATTTCATTGTCTGCACACATTTCAATTTGAACCAAAAGAGCAAGGTATTTTTAGTTTGACTTTTTGAACCTGTCTTATAGGCACTTCAATGAAAAGCACATGCCACCTTCAACACAGGCCAGCTGAAAATACCATTGCTATCGACAGTGCCAGCAACTGCATGGTCTGCAGCACCAGCAGTGTGGTCTACATGCCAAGGCCATGTGGCACCAGGGTGAGGGGCCAAGTCCGACTGGGCCCTGCCCGCCCTGCCACTGGCGATTACCTGCATGATCGGGTGGCCCAGTAATTGGTTCCTGGTCCACTGCACCTTGACCTTGACCTCATGCACTAGGGAGTAGGGATTCTATGTTGCGTCGCAGGTACCTGTCGGTCTAGTTTGGATGGGGGCCGTGGGGATGGGATGCTTTGAGGAAAGGGTATGCACTCTGTCTGGGGATTTGGGTTGCTGAAGGTTGTAGTGACAATCGTCGGTATTGGTTAGGCAGACGTAGCACAAGCGGGCTTACGCTGTGGTGTGAAGTGAAAGCAAAAATCGTGAAAACACGCTTTTTCTGTTGGTAGACTTCAACTTCAACCAGTTCAAGTTGAACTTGCCTCAGGTTAAATAGATCATAAGATAATCATTGGCGTGAGTTGGCCGCCAAATTATCTGATTTTCTTATAGGTACCTTACAATTTACCACGGTATATATATATATTTCTTTGGCCAACTTAAAGGGACACTCCCACCTTAACATTACATTTGAGTTGAGATAGCCAAAATGGGGTCCCTGGCTCACAATTACCGGTTTCGGCACTCACAACATCGAGAAATGCCTTAAATCGGAAATATTGAATTTCAAAATTGCAGCATTTTGATTCAGAGGGGCTAATGCTTAGGTATACCCCTGTGAATGTGTGACGTCAGCGCAAATATCTAACGATTTTTAAATGTTTGACTAAAACGTTTTGTAGCACGCGGTGGTAAATGCTATTTGCGCGCAACATCTGCCGCAAACGCCGAACTTCTAAAATAAAGTCGCTAGAAACAGTGGAGATCCCAAAAAAGTAAACAAAAGTAAAAGTCCAATATCTTGAAAACCGGTGAATATTTTTCGGTGAAATTTGGTAGATATTCGTTTTCGCTCTTTCTGAACCGAGCGACATCACTTTCATTCCAATTCATAAACTTTTTTGAAGGTGGGAGGGTCCCTTTAATTTACTTTGACCACGTTGTTTATTTATTTTTTTCCTAATCCTCCTCACCCCCCGAGCTTTTTTTGTGATTTCTTCGATCGTGTTCAATAGCGTTTGATGCTTCGGTCAAACAGCTGCTTTTGGAGAGGGGCATGAATCAGAAAAGGGACGATTTTAGGACGATTGGCCAAAGCAAAAAAAAAGGTAATTTTAAAAAAAATCCAAGATCATATTCAAGAAAAGGTCTCTGGGAAGTTTGTACCCTGTATCATCCAATACTTTTTCAATTTTCAAAATATCGTTTTCTATAAAACGCCGACTCTTGGCCAGTCCAGCACAATCAAAATTTATTCTTACCAAAATTTGTAGAGCAGATGAGAATTTAAGTTAAAAGATTAACTTAGAATGCCGACATCATTTGCATATTTTTTTTTAGAAATACATAAATTTCGTGAAATTCGTGAACGGTGGGACTACAAAACATGCTATGCCCACTTTGCATTGAACAGGCTGACGCCGCAACAGCGTCAAAATTGCACTAAACGGCTGGCCGGCGGCCGCCAAATTCACACTCGGTGACTTGCTCATTTGTTGGTTCTCGGGGAGCGGGGAAGGTGCTGCTGGAAGGACCGTCTGTGTCAGGTCGGTCACTGGATATGGGAATTGGGAACAGTGTATATGCATAGATATCGATTTCTGTGGTATGCCAGACTTTCTGTGAACTTGAACGTCTAGTGTTTGACTGTGAGCGCATGCCTTCTGGTGAGCGGCGAGCGCCGGTAGCCCAAGCCCTGCAGTTTTGTGTTTTTGCTGCTTTATATACTTTTTCAATACAATTGACAGTTAAAAATGAAAATTAATAACTTAACCTGAGGGCTGTTCACTGGCCCTGTCAGCCTCGAAGCTCCGCCCACTTCGTTCCTACGTCAGCCTTCTCATTCTGTCACCGCACACAGTGATCGCTGTGGCCGGTCGGGACAGGCCACAGCTGACCGTCCACTGCACGCAGCTGTGACGTCAGAACCGCCTACCCATCCCCTACCCCTACGCCTGCTGGACGCACCGCACACACCGCACGCAGCAGTGTGCGGTGCCCGTGAACACCCCTCTGGATTCACATGGTAGCAGGGGGTGTCACTACTTTGCTTCGCCATAGGTCCAGCACTGATGTCATTGGTTTTGATCCTGGTGACATCAGTGCTGTCTACATCCTGGACTAAGTGACGTGAACGTGCATCACCCGTGGTGTAGCCCACCTATTATATTTCCTTTGGCTGAATTTAGTCTGTAAACTGAGTTGAAGGAAACCCTGATGAAAAATAGGACAAACAAGTAATTTCCTGGATGATCACAGGTACCTAGTCTAGTTTGGTCTTCTAATCATCTATCAAATTGTTAGCTTGTGGATGAAGCTTAGCTCTGTTTAGAGGCAGTGTGTAACAATGTTTTTAACCGATTTTGTATGGTCAAGTGCTAGTTCAAGCTGTTGTTAAGCTGTCTTTGGGTGGTGCTACCTCAACCTTCATGACCCTGTCTCTGGTATCATTGTGAGCTGCGCTGCCACCTACTGCTACCATATAACCTGTGTTAGTGGCTAGATTTCCATGGAATGGTAAGCAAACTTGGCAGTTTTGCTTGTGTTTGCATGGAGAATATAGTTAGCTGACACACTGTATATGGCTGCCACAGTTAGTGGCTGTCTTGCATGTCATAACTTACCTGTTCAGTTATCATCTCACATAGCAAAACAGAACCCATCACCCAGGTGCCAGGTGGGTTTCTACAATTATGAATGGGAAAGAAAAATACCAGAGGAGATCTCAGCTGGCTACCTGGATCATTTTCCAGAGAACACAGAAGACAGTAGGCCATTTCAATGTTGCCCTATTTACTGTTATCCCATGGGGCTTCCACACACTACACAGTCATCAGTTTGTGCTTGCCTGTCAGACTAAGTGCTCTTCAGTGTATGACTGTTCCCTTGGGCTGTGTCATACACTCATACATCTTCTCAATTAACCCTCGCCCGTATTGGTGTTTTTCCAGCCGCGAACGTATAAGGGGGGGGGGGTCCGTTGGACCCCCCCCTTGCCGTTTCGCCCCTGATCGAGCTAGAGCTTCGCGGAAAAAACGAGCGTGTTGCCCGTGACGAGAGGAAGCCGATGATACCTAATTTTAAGGTCTTAGGTCATTGGTTGACCTTGCAGGTCAGGTCAATGACCCAAAAGTCGGAAAATCGGGAACTGTTAGAACGTCGTAAAGTGTGGCTGCTATGGGGTTTTTCGGGGCGCTGATCACGAATATCATGTTAGTTTTGATCACAGATGATGTCTTCATGCATTTAGTCCAGGTCGGGTCAGGTCAGGTCAGGTCAACCAGTAGGGGTCCTGCCGGGTATTCCTAGTAGGTGTCAACCGCCTCTGACAGCTTCGTAACATGTTACGAAGGCACCAAAACTACTTCGTAAATGTTCATATGGTTGCTAAATTCGAATTCAGCTCCAAAAACTGGCCTAGAAACATGTAAAACTCGAAAAAGTGAACCGAGGTCATCAAAGGTCAATGACCTGACCTGACCTTCAGGTGACCTTGACACCCACCCTAATGCATGGGGGCAACATCATATCACCTGTTTGAACGTTTGAAACCACAAAAAGACTGCAAACGCGCGGCTAATGCGACCCGACATACGCCGAATCGCGATTCCGGCCAAACATGGTCTCGAAAAGTAGGTCACAGGTCAAAGGTCATTGGGGTCAGGGTCATGACATTTTCAGGGTAGGTGTAAAATTGATTAACGCGAGGGTACTGAAAGTTTCGTCGCGATCGGCATTCGGCCGCTTTTTACGCGAGTTATTCGCGAAAAACCATGGGGGGGGGGTCCGTTCGACCCCCCCCCCCCCCTATACGGGCGAGGGTTAAGACATCAGGCTTTGTTCAAAGTTCTTCATCTTCATGTTATCAGGACAAGAGGCACAACATCCTCTAGGACCTGTTCTCACCTATTTCCTTAAGGTGACCTTCCCAGTTCTTTCAAAATCTACCTAATATGCTTCAATCACATCTGAGAGTAATGAGTATCCTTTGTTTAGTAGGCATCTTTAACCGTCGCATGTGTAGGGGGGGGGTCGGATGGACCCCCCATGGTTTTTCGCGAATAACTCGCGTAAAAAGCGGCCGATCGCGACGAAACTTTCAGTACCCTCGCATTGATCAATTTTACACCTACCCTGAAAATTTCATGACCCTGACCCGAAAGACCTTTGACCTGTGACCTCTTTTCCGAGACCATGTTTGGCCGGAATCGCGATTCCGCGTATGTCGGCTCGCATTAGCCGCGCGTTTGTAAGTTTTTCGTGGTTTCAAACGTTCAAACATGTGATTTGATGTTGCTCCCATGCATAAGGGTGGGTGTCAAAGTCACCTGAAGTTCAGGTCAGGTCATTGACCTTTGGAGACCTCGGGTGACCTCGGTTCACTTTTTCGAGTTTTACATGTTTCTAGGCTAGTTTTTGGAGCTGAATTCGAATTTAGCAACCATTTGAACATTTACGAAGTAGTTTTGGTGCCTTCGTAACATGTTACGAAGCTGTCAGAGGCGGTTGACACGTACCTACTACGAATACCCGTCACAACCCCTAGGTACTGGTTGACCTGACCTGACCTGACCTGACCTGACCCGACCTGGTCTAAATGCTTAAAGACATCATCTGTGATCAAAACTAACACGATATTCGTGATCAGCACCCCTAAAAACCCCTTAGCAGCCACACTTTACGACTTTCTAATTGGTCCCGATTTTCCCGACTTTGGGTCATTGACCTGACCTGGAAGGTCAACCAATGACCTAGGACCTTAAAATTGGGTATCATCGGCTTCCTCTCGTCACGGGCAACACGCTCGTTTTTTTTCGCTAAGCTCTAGCTCGATCAGGGGCCAAACGGCAGGGGGGTCCAACCGACCCCCCCCTTCACATTAGAAGCTGGCAAACGCCGCACACATGCGAGGGTTAATCATAGTTATTATATTCCCCACTCCTCAGTTACAACTCCCAGAAGTATGGAACAAGACCAAGACCTATTTGCCTTGGGTCTCATGATCATCTTCCTCACTAGTCACTGTTAGGCCTTACACTAGTTTGATTTGACCATCTTGCGCATAATTACAGCATATAAGTTTGTGACCATGCCATTTGCTAGTAGGTTGTTTTACAATTCAATTTTTGGAGAGGTCAGCATCAGCTGACTGTCTAAATAATTAGATTGTTTTGCATTTACATAAACAGGTAGGTTAAAATAATAGGGTGTAGGGGAGAGTGGGGTGGGTTGTATCAGTTTTTACTCCGAGACCCATAACCTCATAACTATCCGTGATAAACTCATTATTTCCATACTATCTCCTTCCTTGATTCTTCTGCTTTTTAGTGCAAAGTAACTTTTCCGCTACCTCTACCAGTTTTTCTTCTACGGTCTGCCGAATAGAACAATGTTTTTGATACAAGTTGCCCCATGGCTTGGGTGAGTTGTATCACATGGTGG